TGTACTAATGTCTCCCAGTCAAACTTGTACAAAAGACAAGCAAGTACCTTACGTTTGGCATCTTTGTCCTTGGGATAAATGTCCTTGTTGTAGACATCCATGATGTAGACTCTCTTGTCTCCGCTGAAGTCCCGTTCATGGCCATTACCCTGCACAGTGCGCCATGTTTTCCAGTTTCATCTCTAGAGCATCGAAACTTCATGTGGTTTGGGATCCGAAACAGTAGAAGATATAATGTCTAAATATCTCAAATATTACAATCAAAGAACTTCTCTTTATTTTTCTACTAAATTAAAAAGAATGAAATGACCATTTTTAAGCTAGAAAATTTTATGAAAGATAACCAGGGTCTGAATATAAAATTCTAAAAACTATACGAAATGTTATATACTATTTGAGTCAAAAGGAGATCCATTAAATAAGTTTATATAAAAAATAGAGCGTAACTGGATCTGTAAAGATAAAAAAGATAAATTTTGAGATTTTTTTTTTTTTCTTTACAGATCCAGGTACGCCCTTTTTATATAAAGTTATATACTATTATTATACTATTTTTACTATTTATGCTTATTGTTAACTTTGACTTTAAATTATATATATACTTCTAAATGAGATCTGTGTAGTACTTCAGTGGAGTATGAATCTCTTAAATCTTCTAATTGCCTTTGAATAAATAAATTTGAATCTTCATCTAGTCCTTTAGAGAAGAGTTTGAAACATGAGGTAATAGGACGTATTTCAAATAAATAGTATGTGATGTTTCGGTAACAGCTTGGTTACCATCATTCAGTACTTTTGTCTGATGATGGTAACAATTCATGGTAAACGGATTGCGGATTTCGACAATTTAGAAAGAGAGGATCATATATCGCCGCAACTCTTTTTATTAACGCGATTAAAGGAAGCTTTCAGGCAAGCCCTTCTTCAGCTAACTATAGTGTACAAACAAGACAAGCGAGAGAGAGATTTTATATCGTTTTTAAAGCGGAATCTATGTAAATATAGTACAAAATATCTTAAAGAAATTTACATAATTGAATAAATATAAAGAATCAACTAAAAACAGTTCAAAGGATTTAGTGGAGAGAAAAATGGAATGGCTATTGTTTTATATGGCTTTTGAAGATTTTTAAGATAGAAGGTAACAGATGGTTTCTAGATGGTAACAATGTTGAAACTTCACCTTTGCCGGTCCCAAGCCCGGGTGAAAAAGGAGGAGGGGGAGCAGTAACAAGCTCGGTAAAAAACCTGGGCTCAGCTGGCCTGGCTGATAGTACCTTGTAAGGGCTCCAGGATGAGCAGTGTCTGTACTCCGTGTTAGGAGCAACTGCACATGACGTCTGTTCCTCATGTCAGAGGCAGCCATTTCTTTTGGAGCTAAGTCGGCCTGCCACTGAGTAGTGCTCCCAGTCTTAATGACAAAGGCTGATGCATTCTACTTCACCCAGTCATTATGGTTGTCAAACACATTATTGACTGTATTGACTCATCCATTGATGAGCTCTACTCTTCCCCGGGAGACACCATCAAAAGTCTCAAGCTTTTACAAGCTTAATACCCTAATATGATTGAGTGGAGATAAGAAAGAAAAAGAAGTACTTTTGTCTGATGATAGTAACAATGTTGAAACAGCACACACTATTTATTTGGATTTGGTCTTATTACCTTGTAGAGAGAGGGATAGAGAGGTTTTTATAGTGAGCTAGAATCTGCCCTCCTCCTTAGAATGATAAGGTTTAAGGGCAGATTGGACTCGGTAAGATTCCTGGAGATGATATACCCGTCAAATAGTACTGTTAAGAATGGTTGGGGAAATCGGCTCTAGATGGCATGCGCCACGGGATACACCGCAGAGTACTCCACAGAGTGCGCCCATGTTACCTTTTTTCCACTATATAAAGGAACGGTAGATCGGAGTAGAGATGCAAGGAGAAGGTATTAGAATGGAATAAGGTGTGTAACGGAAGGTGGATCAAAGAAGATAAAGTCAAAGAAGATAAATAGGACAAGATTGGCAATATTATGAAATGTACATATGTAAATAAAGCCTATTGAGATAAAGATTTGCAAATTAGTAAATAAAAAGTTCAATATTATTAGAAAGGCTGATAGTCATCTTTCTTTAGGATTTTAATGACTGGTAGTCATTCTTAGAAATAACACGAAATTTAACACATGTTTTGGCCGGACCATAATAAATAAAGACTTCCCCACCTGGTGAGCATCCAGGTCCACTATCATGACACTGTGCACAGCGGGGAGTTTGTCCAGGGCCCAGTGGATGCACATGGAGATGTCTGCGTACACACAGAATCCCTCGCCACGCTCCGCAGAGCAATGGTGGAAGCCTCCTCCCAGGTTGATGGCCCATCCTCTCTCCACCGCCAGCTTGCCCGCCTGCGCAACATTCACCGAGCTGCAAACACTGGATATATATCGTAATATATCCTGTCGACTTTCATTATAGCTGTGGTATTATGCTATGTTGGGAAACCTTACTCTTGGGGTTGAAGATTGTTGAAGTGATGGCGCAGTCGTGGTGTCTGAATGGTAAAGGTTTTCACACAAGGGAAATAAGCCAGAACACTTGATGGGTTGAAATAAAAGGCAACTGGTTTGGAGGAAAGAAAGCTTGAGAAAGCGGAGCGATTTTGACTATTAACTATCGGATCACATGGTGATGACCGACTTGACTATGGGATGCATTGAGAGAGAGATCTCTAGAGCAGAGGTTACCTTGGTGAGAGCAAGTCGAAGACTCGATCCGAACTCGGTGGGAGCGAAGCGACTAACTATCCTAGGTTCTCGATTTAACACCAAGAGTTTTCTTCTTTCCCATTGGCGGGAAGCTGTCACGTGGGCTTTTTTCTATTGGTTGACCTACTTAGGTGTTGTTCCCTAATTGGTAGGAAGATGTCACATGGACTTTTTCTATTGGTTGACCTACTTAGGTATTGTTTCCTAATTGGGTCTTGCGGATTTCTTTGGCGGAAGATATGTCCGGCCTTGCCCAGGAAATACTGGTCGTTAAACTTAGCTTTTATGATTTCCGGGGTCGTAAGGTTGACTGTGACTTTATTAATAGTTGTGTTCTCTTCTAAGCCTACTTCCTAGGTTTTTCTCTAAGACGTTCTATCCTCCAGTTACCTTTGTTCTTTTATTAAATCTTTTTAAAACATACATTGTACATACATAGTAGGTCGGAGGTGCATACAGTTATATACAAATTATGACATATATATATGTTATATTAAAATATTATATTATTTAAAATTATATTTCATAGATTCAAATACTCTGTTAAATCTACCGCCAGAGGTGTCACGCTTCCCTTATAAAAACTCATTGTTGTTGTTTCCCAAAGGCCGGCTCAAACCTTTTGTAAATTATGTAAATTTTCATTTTTTAAAATTCTTACGTCTTAAGCCAGGCAGTACTTTTATCAAATTATGTTTTCTATATTCCATAAGCTCAATTAAAGTTATTTCTAATCTTCATTATTTTCATTATTATACTTTCAAGATTTTAACCACGACTGCATTACCATAGCATAATCCTCAAGATAATCATAAATCAACCGAAATCTCATTTTTGTATTTATAATCTCTATATATATAAAAGTCAATGTCTGTCTGTTTCGCGATAAACTCAAAAACTACTGAACCAAATGGTACCAAATTTTGCATGTCGCTTTTTATAAACCTGAGGAAAATTTTCGACTACATTTTGATTAGTATTTTTGGCTATTTCTTTTTTTCATTTGAAGAACTTTTTTTTACGCGGAGTAATCCGGAATGGAATGAATACCCAAATATGGCCATTTTTTATACGCATCGGCGGTTCAGTGGTAGAATGCTCGCCTGCCACGCGGGCGGCCCGGGTTCGATTCCCGCCGGAAGCATTTTTTTTTTACAATTTTTAAAACTCATTTATATTTAATATAATATTATATCAACTATATTAATTAAATCAAATACCTAAACACTAATATAATACAATTTTTACCATCACACACACTTTTTTCCTGTAGTTTATGTGTTACTTCTGTATTGCTATTCTATGGCACTTCTAATATTTATTATTGATGTACTTTCAGTATGAAGGAAATTGCAATCGGGGGAATTCTCGGGCGAAGCCGGGTCATACGTCTAGTATATATATATATATATATATTCTTCTCTTCTTGTTTCTCTTGAATCTTGAAGATGTTATTGTCTGAAAGCTTGAACCTCTTCAATAAAGAAAGTCTTCACTTTTACCTTTGGTCTCTTCTTAGCAATGTTATCCAGCGATTCCTTCTATTGTAATAGTAATCATTTAATAACCAATTGCTTAATAGGAATTTATAAGGCACAATTTGGATTATAGATTATTACCTTGTGTTAATAGGAATTTATGAAAGATTTACAAAAAAGGGGATTTGAATTCAAGGTTTATGTGCAGCAGACAAAGCTGGCACACCATTAGTCAAAATTAAACTGTGGCTCCCCCTTGTGGCAGGAACTAGTAGTGGTCACCAAAGCCAATACAACTTTGCAACAACTCTAATTGTGATATAGCTCTTTTTGTGGGTTCAATACAAGAACAGCAATCTCCCAAAAATTTAAAAAATTTGGGTTTTGGTCTTGTTATCTCTTTTATTTATAGGCAACTTCATGAAAATGATGGGACTTCATAAAGCATATAATGCCATCCGATAGTGGTCTGCAGAGTGTAACAGATGAAAAAAAAAAGTAATTATTATAATCTAATTATATGGTGTATATATTAATTTTTCTTAAATTAAATTAAAAAAACTAAATTACTCTATGAAATGTAAATTTAAAAAAATAGAGTCTTCTTCTTTCTTATCTCCACTCAATCATATTAAGGTATCAAGCTTGTAAAGCTTGAGACTTTTGATGGTGTCTACCAGGGAAGAGTAGAGCTCATCAATGGATGAGTCAATACAGTCAATAATGTGCAAAAAATAGAGTAAAAAATGTTTTGAATTGAAATAATACTATGTATGTTCTGGCTTACCATAGATATTTACATGGCTGTAAAGAATAATTTAAATGCATTAAAATAAAATAAAAATGTTTCTTCTAACCAACAGTGGTAAATGAATTCTGATTACTAGATTACTGATAACACTTACACAGAGAAACACAAGGTAATAAGACCAAATCTAAATAAATAAATAGTGCGTAACGTATTGGTAACACAGCGTTGTTACTATCTTCAGACTAAAGTGTGTGTGTACTGATTAGTATATATACAATATTATAATTGAATACACATATTCAATATCTTAAAATAAAAGACATTCCGGGCAGAAAAACCTTTGTTTTCTCTTTCTTTTTAGATAACATGCTGTGATAAAATTTCTCATTCAGTACTTTTGTCTGAAGATGGTAACAACGCTGTTACTGAAACGTCACATACTATTTATTTATTTAGATTTGGTCTTATTACCTTGTGTTTATAATCTATAATCCAAATTGTGCTTTATCATTTACACAGAGAATAAAGATATGTTAGATTTTATAAACAAGAGGGCAATAGCTGTCTGTTTGTCTACACAACCAGGTGTTATATCAATCCTGGGATTCCTAGGTAGAGTAGATCTACCATTTCTTTCTTTTATACAGTCCATAAGTCTCCATCTTCTTCTTTCTTATCTCCACTTAATCATATTAGGGTATCAAGCTTTGACAACCATCATGACTGGGTGAAGTAGAATGCATCTGCCTTTGTCATTAAGACTGGGAGCACTATTCAGTGGCAGGCTGACTTAGCTCCAAAATAAATGGCCGCCTCTGACATGAGGAACAGACGCCATGTGCAGCCGGTCCTAACATGGAGTACAAACGCTGCTCATCCTGTATCCCTGGATTAGGAGCCCTTACAGGGTACTATCAGCCGGACCGCTGAGCCCAGGTTTTTTAGTGAGCTTGTTACTGCTCCCCCTCCTCCTTTTTCATCCGGGCTTGGGACCAGCGGAGTTAGTCTCCATGATGGTGAGCTGCTGTTGTTGGTTGGCTATCCAGATGGAGGTGACAGTCAGACATTGCCCCCTTCTACATATCTAAAGAACAACACCTAGTTGCAGAGTCATAATCTCCTTTAGGGAGTCCTATGGGTCCTCTTACTGGAGAATTGCTAGTAAATATGGAAATTTTGATGATGAAAACTGTCCGTTGTCAAGAGGTTTCCTCAGATGGAAGTTGTTCTACCTACTGTACATGTACAGGAGGACAGAAGTGACCAACTCACCAGGACTGTGCCTCCAGTCTGGTAGCGAAAGGACTGCAGCACAGATCTCTGGAGAAGGAAATTTGGCACCACGGCTACAATGGGGATCTCGATGACAGTCGCCACTGTCACACTCCACTGTCCACAGAGTCAGTTCGTACAGCTAGATGGCTACAGTCAAGTCACAGAGTCAGTGTTCTCATTACCTCCAATTTTCAAAGGATGCATGAAAAGATTTGCAAAGAGTTTGTTATTATGATGCATATTTTGTATTTAACAGAGAAATTTTATAATGTATTTTCCTCTCTGAGTTTAAATATAAATTTTGGCAAAAGGATGTTGATTAATGATAAGGCAAAATTTGGATTATAGACACAAGATAATAAGACCCATTCAAAAAGCCCTCGATTCTTGCAAAAGCCAAACCATACCACTGTGTGCAAGTAACCGAAAGAGGCTCTGGCACAATTGTAAGTGTAAAATTCAAACTGCTTTCCACATGTGTAAACATGTGATGTACATACAGAAAAAGCAGTCGCCAAATACTAACTAGGATTATCATGGTCTGTACCATGTGTTGTTGTTTATTCCTAAAGTCATTTAAACGATCTCCATTAGGTTCCATTTGTCTCAGCTTTTCTATTATAGTCCTGGGGTTTTCCCAGAGGTCTTTTTTGGAGGATTTCAATAGATGTTCAGGACTGGCAGGTTGGGAATCGCATTAAGAAGAAAAGATGGGTGCTGTTGGTCTGAAGACCTGGAAGTACCACTCAGTGTGACTTTGTTTCTTTTGGTCTCCTGACATGGAGCCGCTTGTATGGAGAACAGACAATTGATACATTAGCCGGGTACAGGGTGGCCCTACCAGGAGTTAAACTCCCGACATCCTGTGTTTACACCCTCCCACCACTTTGAGGCTGTAGGATAGGATTTAGGAAGGGGTGTACCATGTGTACCAGGGATAATTAAGAAAAAACTAATTGTTTCTCTCTTAGCACTCTTGTGAAAATAAAATATTATAATGGGGAAATTTTATATATAGATTTTATTTTATTTTATTTATTGTTACAAAAGCACGAAGTCCAAAGGACTATTGTGCTGTGCCAGTATTATTTACATATATATGATTAAATATTTACACGATGGATTAGTAGTGTTTTGTAAATTATTGTACAAATAGTTCTAAACTTAACAAAGTTCTCATAAGATAGAATATATACACAAAGAGAATTTGGTAATGTTTCAAAGTATCTACATACAATTTGATTAGTCAGAGGGCAAGTTAAAAGAAGATGCTCTGGTGATTCAACATCTAAGCGGCATTCACATGTTGGATCATTGATAACATTCAGTTTGAATAGGAAACTTAAGAAGGGTCCTTTGCCTGTTAAGAATAAAGTAGTGAATTTATCAGAAGAAATGAAATTTGGGACAGCAATTGGAAAGAATTTCTTGGTGTGTGAGTACACATTCAAACAGTCCTAGCTAAGTCATTTAGCCAGTAGAAGAATTATTCCTACTTGAAAAAAACTGCAGCATATATTTTTCTAATTAAAAAGAAGGAGATATATTCTTTGTGTAAAAAAGCCTTTTATAAGAATCTTTGACCCAGGTGAGGGTGTTATAATGAAGTTTGACAGTAAAATAATGTTTACTGTGAACATGCATATATGGCAGCCAAGATATTCCAACACAAATACAGACACAAGGTAATAAGACCAAATAAATAAATAAACACAAGGTAATAAGACCAAATCAAAATAAATAAATAGTGTGTGACGTTTCAGCGTTGTTACCATCTTCAGACAAAAGTACTGAATTGTGCCTTATCAAATAAATAAATAATGTGTGACATTTCGGTAACAGCGTTGTTACCATCTTCAGTCATCATTCAGTACTTTTATCTGAAGATTGGTAACAATGCTGTTACCAAAACGTCACACACCATTTATTTATTTGGTCTTGTTACCTTGTGTTTATAATCTATAATTGTGCCTGAACAAGTACAGACATTCCACATACCTTCAGGGAGTTGATATAAGACTTGCTGTGGACTCTTAGAAGATGGGCTGTCTTAGCTTCTCTCGGTACCACAGCTGGATTGTGGTCTGTGATCACTCCTTTCTCTGGAGAACACACCACACACAGAGACACATTACAAAGTTACAACACCAAATGCAGCAGAAAACCCTCATTATAACAGCATCTTTTATAAATAAAAACTTGGTTAATAAAGCACAATTTGGATTATAGATTAGAACTATAAGAAAATAAGACCTCAAATCCAAATAAATAAATAGTGTGTGACATTTTGGTAACAGCTTTGTTACCATCGTCAGACAATAGAATAAATTTCTTTGTCTGGTGATGGTAACAAAGCTGTTACCGAAATGTCACATACTATTTATTTATTTGGATTTGAGGTCTTATTTTCTGGTAGTTCTAAAAACTTGGTTATAATAACATAATTTCTAAGTCCCAATTGTTTTAACCATGGTTATTACAAAACCTAAAAATCTTGGTCCAAATTGACATTGCTATAGTGGATTTGACGGTAAGTAATTTATAGCTGATGTTTGTATTTCTACTGTCCTAAAAACTCATGTCCATAATTTGATTAAATACTATTTCTAAGATTCCACCCTTCAGTGTAGCATATATAAA